TTGGTGTATTGATTTTGCAGGAACATGTCTCAGGACCATCTGTTTGTGCAGGGTCTGCGCCTGCACGCGGACTACGCGGATCAGTTCCGCAAGGTGATCCGGGGGAGATTGGAGCGCCACTACCACCTCGAGTGGGCGGTGTTCGAGCAGCTCCACTGTCTGCAGGAGCTCAGCGCCGCCATCAGTCACCGCGATTGGAGGACGTTGCTGACCATCGACGAGCCTACCTACACGGAGCTGGTGTGGGAGTTCTACACCACATTTCATTATGACCGCAAGAAGGCCCGGGACGCCTATGCGGTGACATTCAGGATGGGTGGCCATCACAGGGAGCTGACCATCGACGGGTTGGCCTACGCTTTGGGGATCGAGTACCACCCGTTCGATGCCCATGAGATCGAGATCGCCAACCCGACCGACTGGAACCAGGATGGGTTCTACCGCCGGATAGCCAGGCGCGCTCATGGATACGACTACTTCGATGATGGCCAGACCTACGTCAGCACCCTCAAGCCGCAGTGGCACATCCTGAACCTGCTGATAACCCGCTCTATCGTCCCCAACGCCACCGGCTCGCATAAGATTTCAAAGCGGGTGTTGTATGCCATGTACTCGATTGGGTACCCGGAGCACATGCTCCACTTGGGATCTTTCGTGGCCACCACCTTCTCCCGGTGCCACGGACATCCCACCCACCTCTTCTGTGGTCCCCTGATCACACGGTTGGCGTGGCATTTCGACATCAGCTTCCAGGGGCTTCATGATGCGTCTGCACGGGGCGGATCCGCACCCCTCAGCCGGGACGTGCTCCACAGCGCCCGCCTCCTGGCCACTGATGACATCCGTACATGGGTGGACGGGCTTTCTATGCCCCCCGAGGAGGTGATCGATCTCGATGAGGACGAGGAGGATGCTGACTATTCAGGCGAGGAGGTGGATGAGGATGCTGATGATGATGATGACGGCGCCATGGATGCCGATGAGCCGGAGCCCTCGCTCTCCCCACCTGGGGACCTTCGGCCTCGACAGAGTTTGTATGCTAGGTCTGATTGTATGAACCCAAGTACAGAGTTTGTGAATTGATTATATTCGATTGAGGTTTGAATGATTGAATGACTTGAATCCTGATCAAATTCCTGTTGTTTCTGCTTTGACCTAGAATGAGAATATCTGCATAGGTTGATAGAGTATCCTTAATCGAAGGTGGCGAATTGGTGACTTTAGTCGAGGAGCCAATTCGCTATTCTGTACCGAACTCAATTCGGTAGTGGAGGTTTGGTTCGCTAGGGCCTCAATCTGTTTACTCCGGTGGAGGCTAGTCGCCCGCTAGAGACTCAGATTGAGAGGGTGTGAAGACCTTTAGTCGAGACTTCAGACTAATTAAGAACCTTCCGCAGTATAACTTTCATGAAAACTGAACTTGGTAAATTGCAATCCGACTTAACTGCAGTCTAGGGGGAACCATATCCGGGTGACCTCTCTTGACTTGACAACAACCGTTTACTTGCTTTGTGTTTTTGTTTGTTTGAATCTGCACTAAAAGTTCACTGCTAGATAACGAGAATTCACCGAGTAGTCATCACATCTAGGACCCGAGTTGACAGTAAAACCCAAACCTGCTATACTACGCTTTAGGAAGTGGTTACACTTGGCCATTTTCTAGAGTGACAGTAGGAGTGAGTCAACACACTATGTCACTACAGTGATAGATCTACCTCTGTAGCGATAGATTTACCACTGCAGTGATATATCTACCGCTGCAGTGATAGATCTACCGCTGCAGTGATAAACACACTATGTCACTGCAATGATAGATCTACCACTGCCGTGATAGACACATTATGTGGCTGAATCGAATTCGACCTAATAAGAAATACATTTTTTACGAAACTACAACTGTCGTGATATACTATATTGAAGAACACTAATAAATATATGAATTGTGGTCGTTCAAGGAGAATTGACTCACCTTAGGCAAATCCTGGTGTCGCCACTATCGAATTATCGAAGCTCTTCTGCAGATAGACGTTTATCGACGGGAAATGATCAAGCGCAACAAGAAAAAAAAAAGACAAACCAGGTTCGAAGTTGAGGATTTGGGATGAAAGACGGAGGACGACCGACGGGAGGGATGGTCTGACCGTTGTTATGGAATGGATGGGTTACGGCGGGAGATAATGATTAGATGCGACGGTGGAGAAGGGTTACGGTCGGGGACGGTTTTAGTAGAGATGGTGCGGGAGGGTTTATAGTTTCTGAATAGAGAGAGAGAAGGAGATGAAACGGTGACATAAAAAGGGGAAGGGGGAATGAATTTTAAATTATGTATGGGAACTGCTTCTTTCCCTTTCCCTTTCCCTTTCCCTTTCCCATGTATGTTGGGATCACTAATTACAAATTACCAAATGTTAAATTCCTACCACTAGATTAACAGAAATGAGAATGGACGGTAAAGAAGGGTGTCGAAAATCATACCTTTTTAGGGGGTAGTCACGCTAACCGGTCCCCAAAAAACATGAACCCAATGATGAAAGCAGCCCATTAACCATTCAACAACGGTCCTTTCTACTCTAACAGCCGGGGAGGAGAAGTTGGGAGTAGCCGAGCGACAACTTGAGGGAGACGAAAGGTTTGAGGGGATTAATTGAGGGATTTCTTTTAATTTTTAATTGACTTGGGACATAAAATAATTAAAAAGGAATTAATGAGGGGTAAATGGGTCATTTCATAGCTCATTAAGCGACCACTTAATAGATAATTAGATGGAAGAATATATTTGTTGCGTTTTTAATAGTAGAATGATATATATGTTTGTGCAAAAATTTAATAGATGGATATGTTTGTTAATTTGAAATAGTAGAAGGGCACGAAATGCTATAAACCCTTTCTTTTATGATTATTTAGTACATTTCGGGGTCGTTTGGATGAGTTATGAAATGGAGTGTGGTATTTGTGCACAAACAACTCATTTTTAAGAAGTGTAGTATTTCAAAGTTATTTGAGATTGGAATGTGGTATTTTAATTTTAATTGTCTTGTTTGGTTGAAAGGGTTATTTGTATATGGTATTTCATATACAAAATCAAAATTAGTTTCTCACCCTCCACCGCTCACTAATCATCTTCTTCCCCTCCTCTTCTCCGGCAAAACAAACTGGCCGAGATAATCCTCAACCCCTCCTCTCTCCTCTTCTTATTCGGCAAAATCACATAAACGAGACCCATCTTCGTCGCCTCTTGTCTTCTAACATCAACCCTAATAAGAATTCATCCTTTTGGTGAAGAAATTCCAAAGCAATCGTTGGCTATATCATATCCCCCAATAATCAATCAATCTGATTTCCAACATCAAGAAACAATTAACCACAGCTACAACAAATGCTTTCTCACTAAGACAGGCGGAGAGCAGAGGAGATTGAATCGGGCTAATTGGAATATGGAGCAAGGCAGCAGACCTTCCAACTCGTCCTCATCCTAGTGCTCGACGACATCATCTTCATCAGTTTCGAAGCCCTCGAATTGCGAATTTTAGGAGGCGGACTGCGGGAGGAGAAACGAGAAGAGGGAGATCGACAATTCCCCCAGTAGCCGCCACTACACTCGCCTCCGTTCGCCGCCGCCGCTAGACTCGCCTCTGTTCTCCTCGCAACATTGGATTGAGCCTACTCATTTTGATCCGCATAAAGAAAGGAACTCAAAGGTAGCAGAATAATTAATTTTGGCGGCGTCGATTTTGCTATGTTGCCATGGATGGATTCGAAGAAGAAGGAAGGAGAGAGGAGAGAGGAAAGGGCAGAAAGGGTTGATATAATGGGTGAACGCGTTATTTCACAATAACACCATCACCCCCAGTTATTTCCTTTAACGCGTTTATGCGTTATTTGCAAATAACCCGTCCCCAAATAACCCATCCCCACATTATGGACCAAAACGCATTATTTCAGCTCAAATACCTCAAAATGAATTATTTGGGCACAAATACCTCATAAAAAATGCATCCAAACGACCCCTTCAAGTATTATTGTGGTATTACTTTGGTGAGGTATTTTGACAAAAAATTAACTTTTAATTCAAAAATAATATTTTTCAGATGAATCAATTGAATCACGATCGTACAACGAAATACTTTACCGTTATTTTTTTTTTAATATTATCACCTCCAGTTTTACAAACCATGAAATTCAGCCATGTGTAACCAGTTAGATCTTTGATCCACCGGCAAAAAGTTCGACCCATCGGGATTGTCACGGTGTACTTCCATCTTCTGCGCGTTGGGCATATCTGAGTGGACAAAATAAATGTGAAGTACCCAAGAAAATTTGCCATCATCTTAAACCAATCTAGCTAATTGGCGTTAACTAGAATTAAATGTGAAATACTAGACTTCTTATCATAATCTAACCCTCTGAATGAAAATTAGTCATTCTTGGATATTAAGTGATCCTCCAAAAGAAGAGCACTACTATTATTCTATAAAGTATTGGTGTGTTAAAGTTTAACTTGAAATTGTACCATAACGTTAAAGGTATGAATTGAAATTGTACTACGAAAGAATTTGACATTTATATTATGGTACAATTCAAGTTGTACCATAATATAAAAGTACATATTTAATTTGTACCATAAAAATATTTTTAAAAAAAAATTTAAATATAATCTGAAATTGTACCGTAACACTAAAAATACAACTTGAAGTTGTACTATAAAATCAAAAATAAATAACTAAGCATTAGTAAAATTCCTCCCAAAAGAAAGAGTTCCAAGTAGTTGATTAACTCATACTTAATTTTCCGCCTATTCTTGGATTTACTTCGACCGGCCGCGGCCGCTGCCGCTGCTGTTGCCGTCTAGTGCCTGCTCCACATTAGATGCACAAAATATATAACGCCAGAGAAAGTGCATATAAAAAGAGTCCTTGGATTGAGTATCCATACACATCGAAATAAGCAAAGCCTCAACTGTCTGACACTAATTAAGAAGAAGAAGTCATCAATATCACAATATGGCTTCTTATCATTCCGGCCGGCCGTATTTGTTGGTGGCGGTGTTGGCGATGGCGGTGGCCACCGTGGTTGTGGCTCAACAGAGGTCTCCGAGGCAGTACGCGGTTGGGGGCCAGGCTGGCTGGACTGTCAATTTCAACTATCTGCGTTGGGCCAGTGGCAAGGACTTCCGCGTTGGAGATTCACTTGGTATATTACATCTTTATTTATAACTCCACAAATATCCTTCATTTATATACGAAAATAATTTACATTAATAAAAGGAAATTACATTCTCGTCATCGATCTATCTTCTTCTTGTGCTTGGAAACAGTTTTCAACTATCCAAAGGGCGCCCACAACGTGATGAAGGCAAACCGGACGGAGTTCAAGACGTGCACCGTCCCACAAGGCCGGGACGACCTTCTCACTTCTGGAAACGATACCGTTGTGCTGGAGAGCCCAGGGAACAAGTACTACTTCTGCGGCGTGGCGAGTCACTGCGCGGAGCTTGGACAAAAGCTGGCCATAACTGTGAGACCCCAATCGACCATGGCACCCGTCGGCGCTCCTTCTCCGAGTCAGGCCGCGGCCCAGGGTCGACCAAGTTTTGCTTTTGGCTTTTTCTGGTGATGTTGTGGTAGTTAATTAAAGCATCTGGACTTATCGGCATTTTATGTAATGGAGTAGTGACAAAGAATAAGACTAGTATAACTCTCTCACCCTCTACAATAGGTGGAGACACTTTATTTACGTGATATCGTCATTAGGTGAAGAGGGTGAAAATCAGCAACTCTAAATTTCAAGCATTTTTCTTCTGTTTATTTGATTCCGACTATCATTTTACTGAGAATCAAGTCTCTTGACATCTCCAGTGGGGACAAAACACATAATTCACGCATGTTTTTATTTATTCACATAAATTTGAGTATGTATTCAAGACCTATTTTCATTATCACATACGATAAGAGTATTGATTATTCACAAAATTGTAAAATCAAATTTTAAATTATGAAACATATAAAAATGGATGTCACTGTGTATATTATATGATCAATACAACACATTTTTTAAGATTAATTGAGAATTCAAATTTAATTCCATAGACTATAGTGAATACATATTTTTAAGGGGAAAAAGTCAGATTTTTTATTTACGTGAATAACTTACACTCCTACGTAAATAACTATAGTATTACGTGAATAAGCACCAAATAACATGAATGTATAAAAAATACCTGAAAAAGTTGACTTTAGATAGGAATGGGTTAGGGTGATTACTTGTTTTTTAGTAATCACGGTGGCAACCTCTTTATATACCATTTGATTAATTATTTTTTCTTCTTTTTTAATCTTACGGTCAAAATTCTTTTAAGGTAATTTTGGAAAAGAAAATATAACCACACCTGATTATTCTATATAATCTACCCAAATCCTAGTTCTACCCTCCCTCTAGCCAAAACCGTGGTAGCCGCCTCCATCACTCCCGTCGCACAAATCCCGCCGGCCGCCTACACCAGCCCCGGCGATAACTCCGTGCTGGCCACCGCAGCGGCCTCCCACCCCTCTGATCAGGTACCCTCCCGCTGCTCTCTCTCCCGTTGCTCTCTCTCTATCTCTCCCGCTGCTCTCTCTCTCCCTTGTTGCTCTCTCTCTCTCTCTCTCTTATCTCTCCTGCTGCTCTCTCTCATCTCTCATGCTGCTCTCTGCTTCCCTCCCTATCTCTCTATTCATTTGTCTACGAATAGATTTGGTAATTACCATCTGGTAATTTAGTAATGGTAGTAATTTATGAAATGGTATACTTTGTTTTGGTATTAGTTCATTGTTTTGCTCTATGAAATAGTATAGTGTGTTTGTCATAATGGTATTCATTTATTTCTGCAATGGTATTGTTTTGATTTCACAATAGTAGTTGTATTGATTGTATTGGTAGTTTTAGGGGTCGTTTGGTAGTTGTGATTCTTCAAATTGATGTATTAGGTCAATTAGTGTATTATCATTTGATGTATTGATTCAATGCATGTATTAGGAAAATACTTTGTTTGGAAGGGCAATGATGAAACAAAAAGTAGGGTAGACAATCCCTCATTAACAATCTCACCTTTTAGTAGAGATTTATAATCATTCATTTTGAGTGATTGTAGGTGGGCCCAACAAAAAGGTAATGCATGCATTCTAACTCAAAGTGAACCAAAAAAACGACTTAATCTTATCATTACATGTATTTGCTAAATACCTCACTTCAAATCTCAACCTCCAAACAACCCCTTAGTTTAATGGTATTAATGTATTTGTGCAATGGTATTGTTTTGATTTCACAGTTGTAGTGGTATTGGTTGTTTTGGTATTTGTTTGACTTTTGTAATGGTATAGATTCTTTATATTGATACTTTTCGTGTAATGGTATAGATTTATTTCTGCAATGGTATTGATGTTTTTCAAAGTGGTAGTGGTTGTCTAATGAATTGGTAGTGATTTCGTGTTTTTTCTTTTGTAGAAAGATTGAGAAAAATATGGAAAGGAGATCTAGCTGGAGATTACGGAAGTGAGAGAAAGAGAGATAATTGTAATTAATTAATTTTTGTAACTACCTAAAATGTAATTTATCAAAAAAATTAATTAATATAATTTTTTTTTCCATACCCAATTTACTCTTAGTAACCACGGTGATTACTACAAACTGCTCCCCTTTAGATACTTTGTCTTTAAAGAGAGTCTTAGGAGGTTCATCCTCTTAACTATGGACCGGTAGTAAGTACGGTGATTTTATAAGTGTAAAAAGATAATGAAGGAATAAAGCAGGCTAAATTACACATTTGGTCACTCGAATTACATAAATATTTCACGTTTGCCACCTAAATGACTTTTCTTTCATATTAACCACTAACTTTATGTTGCGTTTCGCCGTTGATCACCCTCCGTCAGTCTCCGTTAACGCCGTCAGATTTTTTATTACGTGGCAAACGGAAGTGCTGACTGGGATGACACGGAGGCTGAGTTTGAATTGGAGTCAGCCACACTACCCGACCCAGTGAAAAACGACCATGTTCGTTTTTATTTGATTTTACTTTATTTTTTATTTTTTTTACAATTTAACTTTACTTTTTATTGGACCAAGTAAAAAAGAAAGGTAAGAAAGAACGCTCATTCTTCTTTGTCGAGTCGATTCCCTTTCTTCACTTCACTGCCGGAGGCGGAGAACGTCGGGGAAAGATCGTGTACAGGGTTCCCTCTCGCGTTGATCACCGCGAAAATCAGGGTCCACTCGCGTCGATCGGGAAAGGGAGGTTTACTTCGTATTCCTTCCCGTTCTTCTCTGCTGGAAGCGGTCGATCGGGCAAGGGAGAAGGTTCCGAGGCTGGGAGACGGAGGTAAGTAAAGAGAAAACCTATTCTAACCTTCTCCATCCTCTTCGTTCTTTCCTTCCTTCCATTCTTCTTCTTATCGAAGCTATTTTGTTTGATGATCAGAGAAGATAGACAGAAACCCTAAAATCTTGTGAATCTGAAGATCCACAGAAACCATATTGTGATCTGCTTTGTGGTTGTAGCTCGGCAAGAAGACAGTGAAGCAAAGGTCAGTAGCCCTTTTATTGGGTTCGTTTTCTCCTAAATTTGTTATTTGTGTGCTGCATGTAAACTGGACAGAAGGGGAAAAGTGAAAGGAAACGATTTTCTGATTCTCAGTGGAATCTTTGTTGTCGTTTTCAGGGTTTTGATCCCATTTGTGAAGTATTTATGGTGGGACATGTGCGGCAACCAAATGCTCCCATGCCTATATATCGTAAGTTATTGCTTTCTTGTCTTTGTATGTGGAAAGTTTGTATTACTGAGTTGTTTATTAAGTTGGCAGCTATTGAGAACGTCAATTGAATAGAAAATTGCTTTCCTTTTTGTCTTTTTCATTGTCAGTTTGTATTTATGATGAGCATAGGAAGATAAAGGGAGTTGTCGTAGACTTTATTACATCACTGTTTGCTTTCTTTTTCTTAACTCTTTCATTTTCTTCATCACCGAACAGGTGAATGCAATTGGGAGTTCAACTTTGAAGTTCATTTCGAACATGAACTCAAAAAGAAGAGTGGGAAGCATTTTATCAAGGAGAAGGACATTGTTTACTATGACCATGCTGATATTGATCTGCTGTCCATCCTCGACTTGCTAGACATCTACAAGGAGTGTGGTGGGAAGATTCCAAATCCGATGTTTTATTGGGAAGCTCCTCTTGATGAATCAATGATAAAGATTGCGAGAGATGAAGACTTATTGGAAATGGCCCAAGCAGCTAATGAAGCTCCTAAGATCATTGAACTGTATGATATGGCTGAGCATGAAGTTTTGGACTTTATGGGTAGTGATGACGAAGACGATGCAACTCCACCTGCAGAAAAGGAAGTAACTGTAGTTGAAGACGAAGATGGTGACAGTGATTATGAAGGAGAGGATGAAGATAGTGACTTTGAGGTCGATTCTGACTCGGATCTTAGCATTGGTGATGATATATACTATGAGAAGAATGTGAATTTAGATGTAGAGGCTGGTATGAGGGTAGATGGTCGAGGAGAAGACAACCTTGGTGATGCAGAAGTGGATGAAGAGGAGTCTGATCGCATAGACTCAGATGATCGTAGATCTATCCACAGTTCTGAGGACGAGTCTGATGCTGCATACGTTCCAGAATTTCGGGTGGATCGAGACATGGAGAAGCCAACCTTTGCCATTTCTCAAAAATTCAGCAGCTTTGGTATGTTGAAGGACGTACTCAAGCAATACTCTTTTATTGAGAAACGGACAATATTCTTTAAAAGAGGTGATGGTAAGAGGCTGCAAGTGATGTGTGAGCCACCATGTCATTGGTACATATGGGCATCCAAGGTGAGGGATGAAGATTCTGTGCAGATCACTAGGCGCAAACTGGAGCACACACCAGATTGCACCTTAACCTTCCAAAATAGGTATGCAACATACAAGTTCTTGGGTGATAAAATGACTAAGAAGGTGGCAGCAGATCACAATATGAGTGCGAAGTTGCTGAAACAAATTGTGAAGGAAGATTATAGGGAGGAGATTGGGGATATGAAGGCATGGAGAATCAATAAGACATGAATTGAGAAGGTTCGTGGATCTATTATGGACCAATACAGAAGCTTATATCATTATGCTCCAGAGTTGAGGAGGAGGAATCCAAACTCCACTGTTGTAGTTGAGCAACGAGAACAAGTGTTCAATCGCATGTATGTGTTCTTAGAGGAATCAATGAAAGGTTTTAGAGCTGGTTGCAGGCAAGTCATATGCATCGATGGATGCTTCCTCAAGCATGATTATGGTGGCCAGCTGCTATCTGCCGTTGGTATTGATGCGAACGATCAATATTTTCCCATTGCATTTGCTCATGTTGAGGTGGAGAACAAGGATAATTGGCTTTGGTTCCTAGAGCTTCTGGGAACCGATTTGCATATTAATGATAATCATGGATGGACATTCATTTCCGACAAGCAAAAGGTGCGATTTTTACTCATTCTTGCTGCCTTCAATTTATTTGTTGCTGCTGTAAATTAATTTTTTTTGGTGTTAACCATTGCTATAATTTGCATTCTGAAGGGTCTAATGCCAGCACTAGATGAGGTATTTCCCTCTAGTGAGAAGCGTCATTGTACCAGGCATCTTGTGACCAATCTAAGTGCTGCATGTGGATCACCAAAGATGGTTAAGGACTTATTCTGGGAAGCAACTAGAGCCATTCATTTCCCGTCATCGCGTCCATCACGACACAACCAAAAGACGAAAGACACCACACGAAACCCTTGCTTAGTCAACTGACCATCCAAAACAAGATGGGGAACTAAATCAGGAACAAATAAAGTATTGTCCCTAATAATACTTAAAACTATATTTCCGAAGACAACACAAACTAGTTGTCCCCCATACTAGTCCCCAAACCTATTCATTTTTGTAGTATGGGCAATGCTAAACATGGTTGATTAACATTACCAACGCCGTCAACACCAAGCTTTTGACAATTAGCAACTTGTAAAACCTACATCCATAGTAGGAGTAACGTGATTAAGGAGGGAACGTTGACTAGTCATGTGGTTGTAACAATCAGAGTCGAGCAACCAAGGATAGACCGTACATGAACCTTGCAATGTAGCAAAGGTGGAGCTGAGGGCTGTAGGGAGACTCCGCTGAATGGCAGCATGGACAAGGCGATCAATAGCCTCAACACTTATGGTCACAACAGGCGCAATGGGTGGGGCAGTCGAAGTAGCGAATGCTGGCATAGGCAGAACACCAACATCAGAGTAGGACGACGGAGGGTTGAGACCACACCGATTTTGCAGGACGAGATAGTCCAAAATGATGTACCCAAATTTCTTGCAAAATTTGGACATATTACGTTTGGCGACAGTGTTTCTAGAGATGCCCCTTCACATGGCAATGATGGCACTCAAGTTCAGTGATATGACAACCCTGAAATTGAGTTTTTCCAACTGCAAAGGCAGATTTGGAGGTGGACAACGACGTTGAAAAAATGGCCTCCCCTTCACCAAGGCGAAGAGCTAGCTGAGCCTGAGTGGGGAGGTGGGTCTCCTCGTGAAGAAGTTTACCCAGAACACCTTCCATGGAGAGAGTCTAAGCATTGACAAGAGACGAACATAAAACTTCAAACTCAGGGCGCAATCGGTCGAGAAATTGCAAAACAGGAGCTTGGTGACATTCCTCCATAACTTTAGTGGAGGCAACCTTAGAACGAAGGGAAGCCGTGAGAAAAATCCTATTCCATCCAGAGCTCTTGAGCTGCATTATGGTAAGAAGCTACGTCTTTATTACCTTGTTCAAGTCGAGCAAGCTCGACCTGAACTTCGAACTGGCACGCTTTATTATTAACCTTATACGTTGCTGCTAGATGCTTCTGATTTATGTGGTATCTCCGAGATTCGAGACTAGTCCGCGGAAGAGTTTATCACTTCTCTTTGAGCTTAGCTCTTATTAGCCGAATAATTGTATGTCTTGTATAGAGGAGAAGCGGTCAATGTATAGTCGAGGGATTAAGGAGAGTAAGAGTCTGAAAATAGAAGGAAAGAAGGAATAACCTAACTCTAACCGTAGGAACAACTGAACAACCCCATGCAACGTACAACTTGGGCTGTCCTCTTACAAAGGCTCCTAGATAATTGGGCCGAGCCGTGTCCATACAAAAACAACACACACGCCAACAATTCACACCATTCAAAATTCCACCAATACTATGCGCAAGCACCACATGGATATCATTAGATAATTCATAATTGCTACGTTTAATCGGTCCTCCGATTTGTTAGAATCGTGAGCTCTTAACCTTGTGGGCATTAAGGAGAAGGATTAATACATTCAATTTTGTGTCTACGCTCGTATTTCATAATTATTGTTATGGAGTCTTGCATATTATTATTTCTCGAATTATGATGGCTGGAATCTAGTGACCGACCTTCGAAAAACACTGCTGGCCATCCAAATTCGCAAGCCCGGTCCAGGCTCTGTGCTGGTCAGACCCACAGTACAAGGCCTCCAAACATATGGGGCCTCATGATTTGGCCCATGAAATTATATATACACATACTAAAAATAATATTTGGCCTAATAATTTGGCCAAGGGCCAACATCCCACTTGACCGCTTCCGTCAGTTCCGTCCGTGCCGCTGCTAGTAATTGGGAATTAGTAAGTTCTATTTTTTTTAATTATTTTCTGTACTGGAGGAAAGTGATGGGGAATGGCTGAATGTGAATAGTGAGTGGACGAATGGGATAATTGGGCTCACGCTCAATGGGCTCAAATCAATGGGCCGAATGGGTGAATGAGTTCTAACCATTTTGTGTTTTTTTTTCCGGAAATTTTTATTGGAAATTTAGGAATATTAAACTTTGATAAAAAAAAAAATTAGTTATGCCAATTAGAATCAGGTAATTCTAATTAGGGCCACAATTTTAATTTTCGAATAAGGCCTCCAAATACAACGGGCCGCCTCAGAAAATTGCTCGTTTTTTTTTTTTTTGACAATTCTGAAAATTGGTCGTTGGTGTATCTTTGTTCTTTTGTTTTTAGTTAGCTTCACGACAGTAGCGTCGCTGGAGCAATCCGGGCGAATGTCTACCTCATCAGGTCCGCATAGCATATGATTCCTTTTTCCGCCTTCCTGGACCAATGTGGTGTGGCGTCGCATTATTCTCAACGATTGGATGGTGCTAATCACCAACTTCTACTTTTCCGCCTCTTTTTTTATTTGCCCACCATTCTCAACACCTAGGACAAGATACACCAAGGCTGGATGTCATATTTGTACAAACAAAACAAATCAAACCTTTGATCACAAAGCTCGTTTTCTGAACATGCATGACAACAAAGTTCTTGGTTTCCCCTTCCAATTGATTCAACTTTGTACCTAAAGACGAAGAGTAACCGGCAGGAACTAAATAAGAAATGTGAAGTACTTATTTTTCATTGCAAATTCAAACATTATATTAACCACAAGAAAAGACACGCATATCATTGGTTTACTAGTATCAACAACAACACGAAGGTTATGATCGAGCTTGAATCTAGGACATAGTACATCACTTCCTCATTAACGTAGAAATCCCCATTATTAACGTAGAAATTATGGCGATGTATCTACATACCATTAGTATATTGATACACAAAATGTATAGGACAGTAAATGTGTCGATACTACGTACTAGCAATCAAGATGTACTAGCATTAGGTTGATGATCTTGTAGGACTGGTCTTGTTTGAATTTCAATCTCAATCTATCAATCTCTTCCCCGTTACCATAGAGCATACCATAGATATATCCACAGTGCCGATATGCTAACCACACAACCTGGTCCTGGTGGTGGGAGGCTTTTATCCCATTATCAAATAATTGTATGTTATAAGAAAGTAGCCTAGGATTCACAATTAACTTTCTCGCTACAACTCATTTATAGGAATCAATTAGTTTATGATATAATATAAAAACTAGTTTAACCAAGTAAATGTGTACGTGTTGGAATCTCGACCACCTCTAAGAAAGTGGTATGTGATTCGTAGTAATATGTTCCTCTTTCTCTCCATACCCACAATAAGGACTGTGACCTTATGGTGATTGGTTCAAATCACGTCCCCAACCTTCTCTAGTTCCCTTTCCTTATAAACGTCGCCCTCGCCGATAGATCATGAATCTAGAAGTAACAGGAGTATAGGACAGTGACCTTGAAATGATTGGTTTGAGTCCCATTCTCATCCTGTCCTTTCCTCTCGGTAGTAAAATTATACCTCAATTGTGGCGCCCAGCTGCGAAGTTTGGCCTTTAATATTCCATTCTTGGTCTTTTCACCAGGCTCCCTAGCTATATATGCGACCAATCTTGGCTCTTCTTCCTTTCATCACCCATCTTCTCAGCTCTACATTCATTGAACTCAAATAACAACATGGCTACTCACGTCCCAACTTTTGCTCTCGCAACTTCACTGGCCGTATTCCTCTGCATAATCTGTACTACTTCCACTTCAGTCCACGCTGCGAACAGCCGCCATGGCTTCAGCGTCCGTTTGACCCACCGCGATTCCACAAACTCGCCGTTTTACGACCCAAAAGAAACGTCAGCTCAACGAATGGGAAACGCCGCTAGGCGATCCATCTCTCGAGCAAATCGTTTCAGGAACGTCCTTGACGCTGCTACTTCTTCTTCCTCTAGCCTTTCCAACACCACCGCCGGGGCCGAACTGATCACCGGCGACGGTGAATACCTGATGAACATCTCCATCGGCACGCCGCCGTTTCCGGTCGTGGCGATTGCCGACACCGGCAGCGACATCATCTGGACGCAGTGCAAGCCTTGCGCCGACTGCTACAAGCAGGACGCTCCCCTGTTCGATCCCAACTCTTCCGCCACTTACAGAACGGCGCCGTGTCAATCAAAACCCTGCGTTTCTCTCGCCCACGACGGAAGTTTCTGCTCCCCGAAGGGTGACGTCTGCCAGTACCAGGTGAGATATGGTGACGGCTCCCACACGAGCGGAGATGTCGCAGTTGACACGCTCACCCTGGGGTTGACTAACGCCGCCGCTGGCTACGTGGCGTTCCCAAACATCGTGATTGGCTGCGGTCACGACAGTTCCGGCACGTTTAGCCCAAAGGCGTCAGGTATCATTGGGCTGGGAGGCGGGCCGGGCTCCCTTATCACCCAGATGGGCCCATCCATTGGAGGGAAATTTTCTTACTGCATGGTTCCCTACTTTGAGGCGCCGGAGCATACCAGCAGCACGATGAACTTCGGCCAGAACGCCGTCGTTTCAGGGAACGGCGTGGTTACCTCGCCGTTTTCGTCCTCCGCCGTAGTGCCGACTTTCTACATGCTTCAACTTGACTCCGTCAGCGTCGGGAGTACGAATATCCCGTTCAAGAGTGCTTCTCTTGGCGGTTCAGGGAACATCGTCATTGACTCTGGCACCACGTTGACGCTCGTGCCCACCGATTTCTTGGCCCAAATGTCTGCTGCCTTCGAGAGCCAAGTCAACGGAACCAAAGCCACCGACCCGCAAGGTCTGTTGAGCCCATGCTACGTGGCAGACTCCACTCTCAAGTATGTTCCGCCGGTCACGGCGCACTTTAAGGGAGGTGACGTGGCGCTAAGACCGTACAATGTTCTGGTCCCGATGAGCGATACTGTGGTTTGTTTGGCTTTCTATGGTCTCGATGAGATAAGCATTTACGGGAACATCGCGCAGCAGAATTTCCTCGTTGGCTATGACCTTCTGAAGCAGACGGTGTCTTTCAAGCCTACGGATTGCACCAAGAATTGAAGATGGTCCATTATGGTTGTTGTATTGTTAATTACGATGAATAACTGGACGCTGCACGAATTTGGCGTCTGGATGCTGATTCTTGTTATGTGGTTATTGTTGTCAACAAGTAATTAATAGTAGTGCTTATGAAATTGTTGATTTTACTATCTATGTATTCTATTTCTCTTCCAACTTCAATGTGTTCAGGGTGGACCGATGCTTTGATACCTCCAAAATTTGCGGGGAATATTATTAATCTCAGCTACTAGTTTGAGTTAAAGGCGGGGCAGGGCAGGGCATGCGCAAATTCGTGGTTTTGTAGGAATGTCTTTGGACACCAATAAAATTTGGAGATATCATAGTAGTAATTTGAATCTGAAAAAATAAGAAGAAAAAAAAAAGTGATAGTCTTTATGATTCAAACTCATAACACAATAATTAATATTAGATAAAATGTTATTCATTACACTACCAATCAATCAGGTGTAGTTATGTTTGAAACATAAATATAAAAATAATCTCAAATAAAGTCCAATTAAACCCTAATTTTCATAAATTGTCATCAACCTTTTTTTTTGGGACAAAAGATGATCTTTTATTGATTAGAAAGAGATCGAACAAATTACATTCTCGTATACAACTTGGAGATGAAATAAAAAAGAGCGACATGTAGCCGGATACAAAGAAATAGCCTTTCCACCCAGTAAGTGGGCTACCCGATTGCTATCCGACTTACAAATCGTACACTAAAACCATAAAAATTTCCAAGCAGACCACAGACTTCCGCATGAATGACTCTAAAACAGTTATCTTGAGCACCTATCAAATTTACCTTATCAATGACCACCATTGCGTCTCCATCAAACCGAACTTGCGAGAGCACGCAATTCAGACACCAGTGGATGGCCTCGCGGAGCACTAAAGGTTTAACTGTAAGCTGGTCATCGATATCCGCAATATGAATACCCCAAGCCAAGATAATCGAAGCACTCTGATCCTCCATAACTATTCCCCCTAGAGAATGTGAACCTCTCCTTGTGACACCATCCCCATGGAGGTGACAATGGTCGGGGCTGAAACCGCCATATTTGCCACCGGGGGGTCGGAGAATGAAGTCACTCTGGTCGCCGGTAGCCCCATCCAATCATAGACCTGTTGATGATATTGTCGCATCAAGGATATAACACCGAATTGTTTCCCTTCAAAGACAACTCAATTTCTGGATTTCTAGACCCGCCATAGGGCCGCAACCACAACCATGCTCTAATGGGGCTGAGTAAGAATTAAAATCAACCTCTTAAAAAGAGAGAGAAGTTTCAGCGAGGGAGCCCTTGGCCTAAAGTTTCTAGGCCAGCATGATCCCATATTGCCCTTACCACTAGGCACTCCATAGAAAAGTATATATTCCATAGTCTCCTCAGCTGGCTAGCAAACCGGGCAACGAGGCATAACCTAAAATCCTTCTCAATCAGAGCTTTCATGGTCGGCAAAATGCAATTAATTTTTTTCCAGAGAAAGACCTTCATCTTCGGAGGGATAGGGAGCCCCTATACTCGAATCTAGCTCGATCCATCCATCCAACTCACAGACTTGCGCCATCTGCCTTGCGCACAACTAAGCTGGACAACTAAGTGATAGGCAAATTTAACGGTGAAAATCTCATCACTAGTATCATGCCAAATTAAAGAAACCCCGACATCATGACAGGGTAATGAGATTTCTTTTATGGCACATGCTACCTCTAGCGGAAACAAGTGATTAAGAGCTTCCACATTCCACCTGCCTTTCCCTGGCCATAACAAATCAGCCACTCTTGGATCATTTCCTTCCGAAATCACCCGAGGGTAGTAGGGGGAGCACGCGGATGTAGCCACGGGACCCAACTGAAATTCTGAATGGATATAATTTAATCGTTCCCTATATGCCAACGTAGTCCCTACTGAAGCAAGAGGCGCCCATGCGGTATACTCTGCCAACCCCATGAAGGACAAGACTGCGCCGTTGCGGTGAGAAGGATTTGAGGTTCATTAGAGATTTGCCACCCAATTTTGGCTAGAAGTGCCTGATTAAAGTGTTCGAACCTACGAAAATCCATCTCCCCTCATGCTTGTTCCGACACATATTATGGCAGGACATCCACCGGATACGTGACCGACCCCCCTTAACCCTCCACCCAAACTTGTGACATATTTATCGAAGAGACAGAAAAGGGATAACGGGAGCTTGAAGCAGACATCACATGGTGTGCGAGCGAGCACGCAACTGACTTTATCAACGTCTCTTTTTTTGCCGCCGATAAAGTCCCTTGCTTCCATCCTTGTAGTCTTTGAACCAATTTTCCTCCATAAAGCGGAACGTTGGCATCTTAGACTGAGCGAGAAGGGCCGAGAGGCCCAGATATTTGTATTGAACCCCCACCGTCCCTACACCCAGGATCTTAGCGAGAGGGTCCTAGCCTGGTGGCAAAATGTTTCTACTAAAGCAAACTGCAGATTTAGTAAGGTTCACCCTCTGACCACTTAACCCTCTAGTGGCCTTCATATTCTCACATTCTTGAAGTGGTCCCCGCATCAATATATATGAGTCATCCACAAAGAATAGATGTGACACACGCGGAGCCCTTGGGGCCACCTTGACATCCGCTAGCTTCTTCTCCACAATGGACTTTCGGATAAGTGTCGCTACCCCCTCCGTACAAATAACAAACATTACGGGAGACAAAGGGTCACCTTGTCTTAATCCACGTGAAGGTTGGAAGAATTCGGAAGGATGATGAAACCAAGCATCCCTCAATCCATCGAGCCCACCTCTGATCAAATCCCATTTTTTCTGGAACCGCGAGTAAGCAAGGTCATTCGACTTTGTCATAGGCCCTCTCCATATCAATCTTTAGAGCCATATAGCACTTCTTGCCCTTGGTCTTAATTTTAAGGTAGTGCATCAACTCATGTCCTATCAAGACATTATCCACAATCTTCCTTTCCCGAATGAAAGTATTCTGCCCAGCAAAATGATCTGGCAGAGGAATTGTGCCAAACATTCAGACATAATTTTAGCACATATTCTTGTATACGAACTGACACAGACTTATGGCCTCAATTGACTCATATTTTCAACATTATCCACTTTGGGAATTAAAGTAAGCCAAGTATGTTTAAAATTCAAAACATTCTCTTCGTTCTAAAGAAAATGCAAACAACTTCAACCAAGAAGAAAGTTTGGCGAACCTCAAAAGGTTGGACATCTACCGTCAAAACCTTATTCATCACAGTCGTTACTTTCGCCCCAATCGGGAGGGCGGCCATTCGATCATCCATATTCCCAATCTGATTCTCAGAGGGAAAAGATTCTGATAAAAATTAGTAGCAGTGACTGCCTTCCCATTCTCCTCCGTTATCCAGTTCCATGCCTCATCAAAGAGGCCAGCCACAAAATTCCTCGTCCTACAAGCCTTTGTGAATGTGTGGAAATACGAAGAATTTTGGTCACCTTTCTTGAGACAACGAACCCTCGACTTTTGCCAATAGATATCTTTCGCCTCCCACTAGTGACTGAGATCTACCTCCAGCTCCCTGATCGTACCTCAATTACTAGGGTGGGCCTGCTTCTCTCGGTCAATCTCTCTCTGGAGGGTTGTGATATTCCGGAAGGAATTCGTCATTCCTGCCCTACTCTAGTCGTACAAGAGATGAATTTCCATCCACAATATGAAAACTTTCTTTACTGAATTTCATCCTAATGAGGTTGGTCACATTTTTTACTTATTTCTTCAACATTTTAAAAAATCATTATCATAATGTTAAGAATAATGAATTATTCCTTGAATTAAAAAAAAATTGATCAATTAGTCTAGTTAATAGATTTTCTTCTTTCTGGTCAATGGTGTCCATCACCGGTGGAACTAGCTCAAGGACTTCTGGTGATGCCGAAGTTGGGCCTATCTGTGCATAATTACGCCAGATACTTAGCTCAATTATCATGAATTGAAGATAATAAACAGATCTCTTCGCATCTATAAAGTTGGGGTTTAGCAAGGAGCGAACCGTTGGGCCAATTGCCTTGTCAGTCAATTCCTAGATCGTCCTGCTTCTCTCTCGTCGATCATTATTGGGCTAATTGAACCTGGGATAGAGAGGAAGAGATCATCGCGAGAATATGGGGTTTCTTTGTAAATGGGAATTGTGGAATTGGGAATTCGAGCTCTAGTTTGAGTAGAGGGAGGGGCTAGTGTGCATAGTGCTGACATTTTTTTGTTGCTAGCATGGTGCTAATTAACACTACTTTCAGTAAATAGAAATATTTCGTTTGGATGACTTTCTAGTTTGAATGTGTTGACCACAATCAAAGACAGAAGATTCACATGTCTTGTGCAATTACATGGGGAAGGGGTAAAAAATCACAAAACCCACATCACAAAATCTAGACCACAAGTTTATTAAACAAACCCCAAGTTTTTTAAAATAGACCAAAAGTCTATAGCAAAAATTAATTAAACAGACAACAAGTCTCATAAAACATACTACAAGTTTCTTAATAGTGGAACTATTTGTAAACTTTTAAAAGTTCATGTACCAACATGTAAGAAGAAAATATTTAAGTACTAAAATGTAATTTTCCATAAATTATTAGGACTCATATCTAAAAAATAAATTAAGCACTAAAGCAAACCACAAGTAACCATCTCACAAACTCCATAAAGCACACCACAAGTTTATTTAAGCAAACCACACGTTGTCTAAAACACACCAGAACCCTGACAAAGCATAATACAAGTCCATTGAAGCATAACAGAAACCTCATAGAGCAGACCACAAGTTTATTAGAAAAATACAAGTTTATTTAAGCAAACCACAAACATCGAAGAACCCTGACAAAGCATACCACTATTCCACTGAATCACACCAGAAACCTCATAAAACATACCACAAGTTGATTGAAACAACCACAAGTATATTAAAGCAAACCACAATTTTTCTAAAACACACCAAAACCCTGACAAAAAGGACACTACAAGTCCA